CATTCTGTGGGGAGGGCCCTCAACCCGGCCTGTGCCTTACTGCCCGCCTGCAGCGGAGGCGGGAGAGGCTCCTGCCGCCACCACTGCACTCGCCAGCTGTGAGCTGGGCTTCTGGCTGAGCAGTACTCCCGCTGTGGGAGTGCACTGACCACCAGGGTCCAGCTCCTGTGTTGAGCACCTGCCCCCTGATGGTCAGTGCACATCATAGCAACTGGTCAACTGGTAGTTCGGTTGTATCAGTCGCTTAGACTTTTATATATATAGATGGGAGACGGCGACGTAACCGTGAAACAACGTACGTCAAGTCCGATGTAACCCGAGGACTGTCTGTATGTAGATAGATACCCAGTACCAGGCATTTGCTAGGTGCTTGGTAAATGTTCATTTAAGGAGTGAGTGACTAGATGATAAATATGGAAAACTGCTCAGTCTCAAGGAAATGCATAGCTAAAGCTTGAGATGGAGCTTTCTAGATAGAACGGAGCATGAGTAGAGGTAAAACATGGCCTGAGTATGTAAGAATTACTGGAATGTTTTCATGTGGATATAGTGAAACAGTATTGTTGGAGGCCTTTAAAATAGAGCAGGAACAGCATACACTTTAGAGCTGCAAAGACTGCCATGAGGCTCTACGTTCTTATTAAAAGGCTTCAAAGGCCCTGGACTGTGTTGCTAAGTGGTTAGGACATCAGCCTGTGGACCGAAGGGTCACAGGTTCAATTCCTGGTCAAGGGCATGTACCTGGATTACAGGTTTATTCCCTGACCCCAATCAGGGCACGTGTGGAAGGCAACCAATCGATGTGTCTCTCTCACATCAATGTTTCTTCCTCTCTCCCTTTCCCCCTCTCAATGGAAAATATCCTTGGTGCAGAGGCAGGACTTCAAAGGCTTCCCAATGGCCTAGGATACAGCAAGTGCTCAATAAATGACTCATGCTACTGACATTTTTACTAGTACTAATAAAACTAACAGGAATTTAAGCTTGATGTAATTTAATTGGGAAATGTATTTTAAAGACCATTGATATGTAAATTATATGTAGTCACTTTTGTCTAGTTGTTTATATAGGATAAAAAAGAGGGGATAAAAATAAAAACTTTTTAACCCTAAGTATGTTCTACAGAGTGGTGAGCCTGTTGGGAGCAGAAACTTTGTCCTGTTTGTTATGTTTACCTTCTGTGATTAAGCACATTGTGTGAGGAGTAAAAAAGGGATGGGTGTTGTGAGTTTGCCACGGATTTATAAATAACCCAATGAAAGGTAAGGAGAAGATTGTCTAGATTAGTCCTGAAGTATAACTGTAGAATGATAAATGTTGGCTGGATGAGACTGATGGATTAGGGAAAATTACAGATTAAAAGATTGGAAAATTAGATGATAGCTTCTTTTTATTTATTTATGTCTAGTTTCTTGGATATGTAGAATGAGGGAATAGAAGGTTTTAAGAAGTTTGTAATAGCTATCATTTACTTAGTGCCTTTTATATGCTATGTATTTTACATATTATCTCACATTAAAGTCATGTAACAAGTGGGGCAGAATTAGTGACTTGCCAATCGGAATTAATTAGTGTTAGAGCTAGGATATGAACTGTGCATTTTTAAAAAAAAACAGCTTAGTGTCATCCCTTCATTCCAGATAGCCTTGCCTCCAGCTCTCCTCACTACCCTCTACCCCCAACCATCTGCTGGCATAAGGACCCCTTTTGCTTTCATGTGATAAGCAATTTGTAGCTATCATTTTGCATTTTTATATGGAATTATAATTGCAGTATGCCTTTGGAATTTGGGGACTCATTCTCTAATTCAGCTAATCCTTCAGTAACATAAGAGTTACAGGTGTAAGGTCCACGATGTGGAAAATCACAACATAAGGCTGGTATACTAGAGGCACCTACTCCTGTAATATAGGCCCAGCACTCAGATGTCAGTTTTCAGGGGTTGTGGTTTCAGGGCCAAGGTTTCAGGGGTCTGGAAACATGTCTTTGGCAAATGTAAATATTCTTTAATTCTTCTTTTTATAAATCACCCAACTTATTCAACTTGGAGCTTAGTCTAACATAGCTGCTAATATATGTTTATATTAAAGTAAATTCATTCATAGTATCTTTAAACCATAGGTCCTCTGCTCTACCACTTTGAAAATTTGGCGAATGAACTTTCCATAGAATTGAGCTATGAGGATCTAAAAAACGTTGTTCTGCAGTATGGATTCCAGCTAGAGGTAAGGATGGAATGAAGCATTGCCAAAGCTTAACTTCCAAAGCACACCAAGAATGGTGATATTATGGCATTTACAGGCTTTACTTTTTAACCTCTGTTTTCTCATCCATAAAGTGATAGTTTTTAGAATTATGATGATTTGGGATAATGTGTATGTAAAGGAAAACTATATTCCTGATATAATCTCCTTTCAATAAATGGTAGCTGGCCATTATCATAATATTGACCTTTGTAGACTGATAGTTACCAAGTAGACTAGGCACTGGGGAAGCAAGTGTGGATGGGAAGGCAGGAGCAAGAGGGATATTGTTTACTATATATGTTTATGTACTGTTCAGTCTTTCAATCTTTCTTTATTGTGTGCATTATTATACAACAGGGGTGGGGAACGTCCGGTCCATGGGCCATATAAGGTCTGTGAAATCATTAGATCTTGCCCTGCCAAAGCATTAGGGATGAGTTAATTAAATGTTTCACCATATATAGCAGCTAACTTTTAACTTGATAATTTTGTATGGACTGTGAATAATGTTATAAATGTCCAAATGGCTCTTAGCAGAAAAAGGATTCCCCACTCTTGTCATACGGTTTTATGATACTTTGACTGTTATGTTTTGGCTATATGTTTATTTAGAAACATCCCATCCTTTAAGATGGCCAGCAGGGGAGGGCAGTTGGGGGCAACCAGGCCTGTAGGGGAGGGCAGTTGTGGGGGGACCAGGCCTGCAGGGAAGGGCAGTTGGGAGCAACGGGGCCAGCAGGGAAGGGCAGTTAGGGGCGACCAGGCCGGCAGGGGAGGCCAGTTGGAGGTGACCAGGCTGGCAGGGGAGGAAAGTTGGGGGTGATCGGGCCAGCAGGGGAGCAGTTAGGCATCGATTGGGCTGGCAGGGGAGTGGTTAGGGGGTGATCAGGCTGGTAGGCAGAAGCGGTTAGGGGCAATCAGGCAGGCAGGCAGGTGAGAGGTTGGGAGCCAGCAGTCCCGGATTGTGAGAGGGATCATAGATTCAAGAGGGTGCAGGCTGGGCTGAGGGACAGCTCCCACCCCCATGCACGAATTTCATGCACTGGGCCTCTAGCCTATATATCTAAAAGCCTAAGTGACTGAACAACCGGTGGACCGTCACTATGATGCGCACTGACCACCAGGAGGCAGACGCTCAACGCAGGAGCTGGCCCCTGGTGATCAGTGCGCTCCCATAGCCAACCTCCCACAGTTGGGCAACCTCCTGCAGTTACTCCCCTGGCTGGCCAGCCCCAGTCGACCCTAATCGGGACTGGGCGAGATGGCCCCGATTGCTCCCAGTCACTGGCCAGGCCGAGGGATCCCACCCTTGCACAAACTTGTGCACCAGGCCTCTAGTATATTATAGTAGCTTAATAACTCTGGTGTTAGACTGTGAGAGTGAACCCCAGTTCCACCACTTAGTAGAGTGACCTTGAATAACCTGCTCTTTGTAAAGTAGAATTAATAATAGTACCAATCTTATGGTAGTACTTGTATGTAATAATTGAATTAATATCTAGAATATATGTAAAATAGCAACTGCCACTTAAAAGTATTCAATATTTTTAGTGTTATCATCATGGTAGTCATCATCATTATGATTGTTTGCATTGCAGGTGGAAAAAGAATCTGTCTTGTCAACATACACTGTGAATGACCTCTCCATGATGAAATACTACTATGAATGTGTCTTGTTTGTGGTTCGTAAACCACAATAATGGTCAAAGTGATATCACCAGGAAAAAAGTTTAATAAGAGCAAATCCTGAAATAAACACTCAAAATCAACTATCAAATGACAGGACACAACCTCAAATCAGTGGTGCCTTCTTATTCCTAACAAAGTTTAGAAATAGTGTCTATTTTCTTAATATGTCTATTGCTTTTTCAGAAATATACTATGCCATGAATATTTGTACTACACAAGTAAAAGTGGAGGAAGTATCTTAGAGTTTACTTTTTCCTTGAAACCCAGAATTGTCTTTCAGTAGAAAAAACTTTATCTCTAGTGTTTTCATGAAGCTGTCCGTTCCAAGCTGCCATGCTAATGACTAATAGTATTGAAGTAATAACCTCCTTTTTTTTTTTGTATGTATTGCACATGTTATTTTTAGAAGAGTCTAAGGATCCTCTTATTCATCATCTGGAATTGAGACTTTTATTCACTTGGACCTAAGCAGTCTATACATAAAATGTGTGTCTTTTATTCTTTTATTCACATCTCTTTTTTTTGTAGCTCAGTTGAACTTCGGGAAGCATCAAACCCTTCATTTTTATGAATTACCGAACTTAAGAGTATCACTGGCCAGTAAAAATGCATTGAAATAACCAAGAAATTAGTAAGTCTTTTGGCCTCACTAAACTGAACACTTTCTGAAAGCATATTCATCATGGATCACTCTGAAATGTATGAAGATCTTAACAATCTGAGTAAAAAAAATCCTTTATTAAAGGTACTGTTAGGGAACTCGGGAAATAAGAAAAAATTCTGCTTATTTGAAATGATTTCAAACTATAAATGAATACAGTCTGTCAGTGAGATGTTTACAATAATGTCTTTTCTTTAGATTACCTGGATACAAATGTTAATCATTCTGTTTCCTGAAGCTTGGAAAGTAGAGATGACAAATATAATGTTTTAACCTTTTCTTGGAGAAAAGTATGTTTGAATATTTTTATAGGTAATTATGATGGCATTAAGCGACCTCTGTGGCAATTTGGATTAGACTTAATCTCAGTAATGTACTGGAAGCATAAATGTCATGTTTTATTAGGAAAACTTACTTGTAAGTTTACACCTTTATATGGTCATTTGGGTTGGGGGAGTCACTACATGATTTGACATCTTACCAATAGGAGCTTTTCTGCATATAGTAAGGGAGCTCTTGTGCCCTTTATGCAGCAAAGAAATACATGAAGCTAATTTGACTTGTCGATTTATGGAAGCCTATACCTATTGAGGTTTTTTTTGTTGTTTTGTTTTTAATTACTTCTCTTTTTTGGCAGATGTTCTTTAGTGGGAATTCTCATTTTCTACCACATGAATAAACTTGAAATAAATTGCTCCCCAAAATTATTATTAAGAAAGAGAATTAAAAGGAACGTAGGTATTTAAAAAATCTACTGAAAGAAATGCATGCTGGTTTTGAGTGTTTTAGAAAAGCTCTTTATTCACTGACTGGTATTCACTTTTATGTGTATCAAAACATGACCTTGTTCTTCTCAGAGGCAAAAACAAGTTGACACATGGGTTGGCTTTATAATTTAACACTTATGATATCAGGTTTTATCCTTTAATAATGTTACTTATATTTATAAATTATAGCTTACATTTTAGTTAATTCTGAAATCAGTTTTTTTTATTTCTCCCTCTATTATGAATATTTTTAATGTTCTACATTGCTTTTTTTTTCTCAGAGCTTTTGCAGTTGATATATTCTAAACTTGAAGATTGTGATATTAATCAGTAATGGAAATGTCACTGGAGGATTTAATTTTGTATTTCTTATATGTAGTCCTACTAAAGTGTGTAAGCCTTAAAAGTCTTTTTATTTTTCTTAAATTAGCTTTATACACAAATGTTTTCATTCATTTTCATAAAGCTGGAGGAGATAGGCCATTCTGCTTACTGGGTTTTTTGTGTTTTCCATAATCTGACTGAAGTAGTGCAGGTTAGGGTATGTAAAGCAAGTGAGCAAAGTAGGACATGTAAAATATAAAGAGAAGCTGTACAAATCACAGTATAAAATTATGAAGTTTTGGAATTGTAAAATGTACTGTATTTATATGTAATTCTCATTCTAAAAGATGCCACAAAGGCTGAATTGGAAGCTTCATCTCTGCATGAAATTTCCTATATTTTTATGTGTATGATGGACTTGATTTTTCTTGATTAAAGTCTGCCAATTGCTATGAAACAATATATGCTTGGTTGTTTCCATTTAAATTAGTGGTAACCATAGACATGGCAATTTTAATTAGTTGAGCACATATACTTCTGAACCCTTGGATTAGCTTCTGTGTGTGTCTAGAAAGTCAATAATATGTGTAATTGGTCTTTGATTATGTTAGGCCGTATCCTAATTATTCCCAATCTTTAGTTTTGTTAAATAATCAAAAAAGACTATAAAGGAAACCAGTAGAAGAAAGTTCCAGGACCAGCCATTAGAAGATCAAGCATTGGATTTGGCCCTTAGATATTCTGAGCTCATTTTTTGTAGTCTTGGGCAAGGTGATCTGAGTCTGTTTCCTCATCTATAAGAGAGGATTGATACCATCTATTTCAGAGGGTTTTTTAATGAGGTCATGTGAGTTATATGTGAAACATTATATGTGAACATGTGAAAGCATATAGTAGACAATTAAGTATAATTTTAATCTGTGTTGACTGCTGTGTAGTGATAGAAAAAGACTGGTAGCAGGACATTAGTTTAAATAATGTTATGGTAACCCTCTGAAAAAAGTTTCAGTGGAATCCCAGGGACATGGGAGTAATCAAAGTTGACATGTATAGTTATTGATTCCAAAAGTTTGGTGGGAATTACAAAGAAATATAATAGGTAATGGGAGAGAGGACACAGGTAAAATTTAATTGAGGGTTACTCTCACTTTACAAACAAGCTAGTACATGCTTCTTACATATGCTTATTTCTCTATTTAGAAGTAGAGTCAGTCAATCAATGTGTATGTGCATTTCAGTCAACTTGCCTTTCAAAGAGACTACCCATTTACATGCCATCAACAGTGCTTAAGAATAATTTAGCATCCATTCCCTGGCCGATACTGGACATTGCTGATCTTTTCACTTCTTGTCAATGTGATAGGAAAAATTGGGATCTAACTTTAATATTCATTTCTTCAACCATTGGGGAGGTTGAGCAATTTATGTAAGATTAATAGCCAAAGAGTGGTGTCGTAATCTGCCAGTCTGTTTTTCACATGGCAGACGCAACAAGCCATTGGCAACAACGCAAAAATTGGTAAAAATGTAGTGAGGCTTGTCAAGGGGAGAATTAACCATGAGGACTACTTTTGAGTTCTAGCCACTGAGAAGTGCCCACCTCTGCTTTTGATTTTACAAAGCTGGTACCGAAGCTAAACAGTGATAGCAATCCATTAGACCCCATTAGATTAGCCAATCAGTGGTGTAGGCCCAGGAGTTTAGGGGAGTATCTTTTAGTCAAGAGCCCCATTGAGCCAGCAGCTTTGCTTTAGGTGGCAGAGTGGGGCATAAAGCTTACCCCCAAAGGAGTAGTGCCCCTTTTTCATAGCACCAAAAAGCTGCTAGGGTCAGGCCCGCTATACTCTTCAATGTGCAATTTTTTTTTCTTTTAATTAAATCTTTATTGTTGAAAGTATTACATGTGTACCCTCTCCCCACCCCCACTGACCGCTTCTAGCCTGTCCCCACTCCTTGCCCCAGGTCTTCACCACCCTGTTGTCTGTTTGATTTGCAAGGCTTGTTGGCTCCTTTTCACCTTGTTAGGCAACAAGCCCAAGCTGACCCACCCCAAATGGGGATGTCAGACTAGAGTCATAAGGCCTGCACATGTCATCCATGCAGTTTCAACAAAAGCAGGTTAATAGCTACCTTCTTTGGTACAAAGATGAATTTGGTGACAGTGTCAGGGAGTTGGTGTTTTGCAGTATCTGGCCATGGCCTCTCTGAGTATTTCCGCAGCCAGTAAGTCTTTGAAACTGTGGTTTCCCTTTTTCCTTTTGGGTGTTACATTATTTCTGCTGGACCACCCAAGAGGAGACAGTCCATGCAGTAGTCCTTGAATGTGACATTCATGGGAAGGAGAAGTGTAGACAGATATCAACTCCATATGCACATATATAATTGTGTATGGTGCTTTAAAAATACTTCCACAAATTCTTTGATACTCTTCTCTTTGGGACAGCCTAATTCTTCTTCCTCTTGAAGTGTAGGTGGTAGTGACTCCCTTCTAATAGACCGACTGTGGTAAAAATGTGTTATTTCTAAGACTAAGTTATAAAAGCAATGCAGCTTCTATTTTTCTCTCAGATCACATGCACTAGCGCCCAGGTAAGGATATTCGAATAGCCCTATGGAGAATCCCACATGGTGAAGAACTGAGGCCTCCTCCATAAGAACTGAATGAGCTTGGAAATGGGTCTTCCAGCCCCAGGCAAGCCTTCAGATAACTAAAGCCCTAGCCAACATCTGGACTACAACCACAAGGGCAACTCTGAACCAACCAGCTAAGCTGATGAATTCCTGATCCATAGATTCTAAGAAAATTTTGTTTTAGCCACTAAGTTGTGGGATAATTTGTTACACAACACTGTTCTTGTATGCATCCAAGTTTCCATCTGGCTTCATACTTGCACCTGAAGAACTTTCTTTAATATTTCTTGTATTATGGATCTTACAGCAATAAATTCTCTTAGCTGTTGCTCATCTGAAGTCTTTATTTCACCTTTATTTTAAAGGATTTATTCACGGGGAATAGAACTCTAGATTGACTTTTTTATTTCTTTAAAGATGATACTCCTTTGTTTTGATGAGTACTCTGCTGTAGTTCTTATTTTTGTTCTTCTTAATGTGTTTCTCTTTTCTCTGGCTGCTTTCAAGATTTTATCTTTAATTTTCATTGGTTTGACCATGATGTATCTAGGTGTGTGTGGTTTGTTTTTGGAATTTATCCTGTTTGTTCAATCTATGGTTTGATATTTTTTTACTATTTCTCAAAAGTTCTTTGTGATTTTATTACCTTTTCAAATATGTCCCTTGCCCTGTTCTCTCTTGCTTCTACTTTTGGAGTTTTTATTACATGTACATTGGATTAGTCACTATAGTCCCACTACTGGATACTCTGTTCTGGTGGTTTCTAGTTTTTTGATATTTCTAGTTATCACTCTCTGTTCCTCTCTCAATTCAAGAAAACCATAAAAAAAAACAGGTAAATAATATTTATGCCTAGGTATGAATATATGCTTTTCAGGCCAGTATGGAAGGTTGAATCAATCTTGCAAAACTTGAGTCAGGTTTGCTTTTTGTTATTGTTACTTGCAGAGTATCACACTCTTCAAATTTCACCAGCAGGAGCTGTGGTTACTTTGTGCCTAGAGTGGATAACAGAATGCCCTGGTGTTCCTGCTTCATCTCCAGCATTCATTTATCTCTGCATAACTTAGCCATAGAGGAATTCTCGCTTTATGCTCCTGCCTCCCCCCAGGAGAATACTACTGCTTCTTGTTAGTCTGTGCTAGGTTCATGATAGGATAGTGGGGGTTATTTTAGTCCAGCCTTTGTGCACCAGGGCCTCATAAGTGGGCTTTGTCAGCATTGCCATCTTCCCCATGTATGTGGTTGGTCTTAAGCAGGAATTTCCTGCTCCTCCAGTAGTATCAACGGAGGACGCTAGGCGCCAAATTATCTCCTGCTCCTTTCCCCCATATGCAGATTTTTGCTTCTAGTTTTTCTCCCAGGATCTTGTCCTTGTCCTGGGAGTGAGAAGGTTTCCTACCCCAGACCCAAGGTAGGGTGGGTTTGCTCCTTCTCCTCCCCCACAAGCAATGCCTGCCCCTGAGAGAATGTTTGCTGACCCTCCATC